TTAAATTCAGATAAAAGATTTATCTGCTTGCAGATGTACCACATTTATTTAAAAATATAAAAAGTATGCTAATAAAATTATAAAAATATCAGAAGAAACAAAACAAAAATTCAATCTTCCAACTGGTATATCATCATCAACAGCATATAAATGAATTGCTAGATCAACAACAAAATTTAAATTTCATACTAGCTCCTAAGTTAAGTGAGGAATACTTATTGCCATCACATTTTTAAAAAATGAAAGTGAAAACATCTACATACATGATCAGTCACGGTATAAGCAGTGGATTACAATTTTTTTTCAGAAGTGAATAAATCAGAATATTTAACAACTGCTTGGTTTATTGATGCTGTTGAAAAATGGTTTAAATTAGCAACATCGAAGCATCCACTTTTTGCTCTAAGTGTGAATACAGTACAAAAGTATGAGGAATCAATAACATTTTTAAAATATTTTATTGAAGTGTTTAAAACTATGAAGGTAGGAGATAAATCTATTTGGAAACCTTGCCAAACTGGATTGCTGGTTACAACTCAATCAATTTTAGATTTGCAACATGAATTTTTAATTAACAAACACTATCATTTTTTACTAACACCAAGATTCACCCAGGACTGCTTAAAAAATTCTTTTAGTTTAGTGCATGCGAAACAAGTGACTCCAACTGCACTCCAGTTTAAGAACAATTTAAAATTAATTTTTGTATCTCAATATTTAAAAAAATGTGTCAAAAGGGAGTTATGATTATGATGACAATGACAGAGGTTTTATCAGAATTTCTTCATGTAATCAAAGAACCCACAAAAGAATATGGTGGTAGTTATACCAGAAAATTTTGAAGCTGAAAATATGCCTCTAAACAATGCAGAAATGAATTCATTATATAATATATCTGGTTATTTAATAACAAGTATAGAACAAACCTCAAAAATCTGTAACAAATTGATTGCATCAGTAGGATCCAAAGAAAGTCCTCTTAGAATATTCAAAATTAGTTGAATTAAAAGTTTAAAAAAAATTCCATGTTTTTTGTAATAATAAAACTTTTGATATGTTTTTAGATATAATATTGGTGGAAAATATCTTCCATAAGGTGGTGGAAAATCACCTTATGGAACATGGAACATTGATATAAGAAATTTTATTTGGAAAATTTAACAAATATATTAAAAATGACCATATTCCAGATTGCCATAAATTAAAAGAAAAAATTATGGCAAGATTTATATCTTTCATGTTAAAAATAAAAAGCAAAAGAAAAATTAAAAAATTTAACAAATCCACGAGTAAGCTACAAAATTAGCCATATTCTATCCCCCATATTCACCAACACGAGTTTGATTATTGATGTAATAAAATACGGAACTGTTACAAATAAAAATGTATTGTTCATTTAATAAATTTTTATATTTTATCTACATAGCCTTTTGATCTTTATTACTATAAACTTAGGTAATTATTATGCATATATAGAAAGCTTTAAACTTGTAAAAATTTTTATTAAATTACATATCATACAATAATGCAATATAGATACAAATATGATAATTTTCATTTGGTTGAAGTTTTACGTAGTGAAATAATACAAAGAAAAGAAACATATCTTTACTCCAGCGAGTGTAAGAACAAACTACTGTAACCAGGGCTGTGGAGTCGTGTAAAAGTCTACCGACTCCGACTCCGACTCTTCCTTACCATCCGACTCCGGCTAAAATACCAAAACTCCACGACTCCGACTCCACAGCCCTGACTGTAACTTTATTTTATTTAAAGAAAACAAAATTGAATAGTTTTTACAGTATAAAGACGGACGTTAAATAAAAATACAAAAAGACATTAATAAACCCCTCAAAAGCTTTCCCGGGAGAGAGGAGAAGAGTTATGTCAAGCCAACACCCAGCTTTGCCTTCGCATGCTGCATAAGCAGGCGTCTAGGACCTTGGTATATTCCAACATTAAATCCTGTCAAATTAGTGAATACAGTAATAGTTTTGACAAGATGAATATCTATTTTCATTAACTACTGACTGATTTCTTACGTTTGGAATTTCGATCTAGTACTTTTTCTAATAAGTAAATAAAATTAGTATTTTTAAGTAAAAAAAATTAATGCTAGAGGTTTAAAACTTATCGAGCCTGTAAGATTCGTCCATCCGTCATATTCTTGAATTTTCCAAACGCCATTGTCAAACTTCTAGGCTACAGGATGGCGGCGCTGAATGTCCGACGTTCAAATTTTCAAGGCCCGTAATAGCCTCAATTTTTCAATTTTGCATAAATAACGTGATGCTCTGTCTAGACATGATTGCAGTTTTGTAGACTTAGAAACTCCCGTCATAACTTGCCGCAAATACTTCCCTTTGCTGAAATAACCTTATTTAAGGCCGACGGTTTATACTTCTGAAAATGGGAGAGAGAAGAATGTGTGTGTTCTCTTTTCTATTACTCTTTCCATAAAGGTTTATACTTTAGAATGAACGAAAAAGGCGCTCGAGCTTTTGGTACCATCAGTGAAGTTTTGAAAGCATAACAGAGTCATAAAACGAGTGTGTATGCGGTTAGTTAATTCGAAGAGTAGAAAATATAACTCTAGAAAAGATATTAGAGATGATCGCGAAATGCATTTTCGATATTTTAGGTATCACATGTGAAGATAATATCCGGATTTGATTAACTTAACCTGTACAGCCAAAATTTTTATAGAAATGTGGTGCTTCAATTTTGATTTCAATGACATGTCTCCGAAAAAACCAATAATAAAATGATTATTTATATATTCTTTTACAGTTCCTCTAAAGTTTTTCCTGTAACCCCTGAATGTTCCAACATCAATAGTAACTTTAGTTTTATCATTTCACTTATTTGCTTTCAAGGGGAGATTGTTCCTTATGTTACTAGTATTATTCTGTTTATCTACATTTTAAACTTTTTTTAAACAAGCTCTAACACTGTATTCTCCATCTTTTCTACCTTGACACATCTTTCGTTTAATCACTTTTTCCATTTGTTATTAATTCTGAAGTATTTTTTCTTTCTTTCCTAAAAACAATTTAATTCAACAACTTTATCCAAACTAATATCATACGTAAACATTTTATTGTCTTTTATATAATAATCTCTTAAATTAAAAAGAAATAATATCGTTTTCTTGTTTAATTATTGGTTGGAGTTTTTGTCTCAGCCTTGATCTTTTACACAAATCTATTGTAAATATCATTCTTCTCATTTCATTATCTGAATTTGCTTTTTCCAAAACTCTTAAAATTAAATTTCTGGTATACTGAGAATATACTGGAGTTTTCACCGTTGGTTTTATTCCATTTTTAGGCAAACAAATTTGGCTCTCAATCGAGCTATTTGATATGCCTAATCTTACATCCAGGGCTGTGGAGTCGGAGGGTAAGGAAAAGTCGGAGTCGGTAGACTTTTACGCGACTCCACAGCCCTGGCAGGGCTGTGGAGTCGCGTTGAATCTGTGTCGGAGTCGGATGGTAAGGAAGAGTCGGAGTCAGTAGATTTTTACGCGACTCCACAGCCCTGCTTACATCTATAAACTGATAATCTTCCCTTGAATAGTCCAACCACATAAACGGAAAATTTATAACTACAATATTTTTAGTATACCTCTCGTTAACTTATTTTTCTAACTTAAATTCTAACATACCTTTTATTTGACCGTAACTCTTAGAAGTAACTTTCATTTCTTATACTCTCTATAACAGTCTTTTTAATTCTCCTCGAAAATACTTATTTTCCTCCTTCAATGACTTGTCTTTATTCCCTATAATTCCGCATTCGGTTATAAAAAATTCTCCGTAATTAAGTCATACATGGATTTTAACGCGTATTGGGATTCTACCTCTACATCTGGTTCAGTTCTTTAACGTTTTAAAATATTCATATATTTTCGATTTCTCAGACCCTCAAAACTACCTTTACAATATCCTTCTTCCACTTGTTGAAATTCTTCACTCATTAATTAAAATATCCAATTGGCTTTCCTTTTCCGTTTCCTTGCGCGATCTACCTGCCCCCTTTTTTGCATATCTGCTAAAGACATTTGCTGCGAAGAACGAGGTATAGGATCTGGATTAGGCTCAATTCCAGCACAAATCAAAAAACACACAACTAAATTCAAGGATAATCTATTTACAAATATCCAACTCGCTAGCCAAACCATTATTCGTTACATTCTGGCCTTTAATTTAATACAATAACAGCCAATACAGTAGAGCATCGATTATCCGACCCCCGATTAACCGACCGTTCTAGTCGGCAAATTTCAAATGTCCTCTAGTGATGTGGCACTACAATATTTGGCTATGTCTTGGCTACTTTAATAAAGTGGAGCCTCGATTATCCGACTCAATTGGGGACTGGGGTTGGTCGGATAATTGAAAAGTCGGATAACCGAAAAGTATGAAAAATCCATTATTAGTGTAGTATATTATTATATCCCATGTAATTAGTATATCGCTATTAACCTACTTCGCGTTGAATTTTCATCGATGTTAAGCCTAAGAAAAATTTTTTTAAATAATAATCGTCGCTATTGTATCATTAAAAATTAGAAAATTAAGCCTCGTTTAAATACTGGCTCCCTTTCATGGTCGAATGAGTGTGGCCAGCTAAAACACGTAAAAATAATATTAAAGTAGCCAAGACATAGCCAAATATTGTAGCGCCACATCACTAGAGGACATTTGAAATTTGCCGACTTGGACGGTCGGTTAATCGAGGCTCTACTGTATTATTTTTAAATTTTTGCGTGTTTTAGCTGGCATCAACGGCTCGACCATTGACAGGAGGCCAGTATTTAAACGAGACTTAATTTTCTAATTATGAGTGGTTGTTTGTTTCGTGAGCAATAAAATAATTTTAAAATAATTTTTAACGATACAATAGCGACGATTATTATTTTTAAAAAAAATTTGTTAGGCTTAACATCGATGAAAATTCAACGCGAGGTTGGTTAATAGCGATATACTAATTACATGGGATATGCTAATATACTATGCTAATAATGCATTTTTTTTATTCTTTACGGTTATCCGATGTTTTAAAATCATCATTATTGCTATTTTAGTCAAATAATCGAATATGTAGTGTGTGCTGCCGAGTGACAAACAGTTCGAATACCGAATGGATGGATGTGCCTTAAAATGTTTACTCCTAAAATGTAAAATATTCGTTTTAATCTTGCACTCAATACTTTATACAGTGATAGAAAACAATCCAGCAACGAGTTGCTTAACTTTCCCGGCAATATTTAAAATTACACGTGGCGCCATCTGTTATAGTATTTTATATAATTTATTATTATAAAATGGCAAAAAGCTTAATTTTGAGGGTAGAGGGCGAATTTCATTAAAAAAAATTGTAAATGCTAATGACACGAAATAAGTCAACGGAAACGTTTCTTTCAAATTTTTATTGCCAATTTTCTTTCGATACAGGCAACTATATTAACAATTTTAATAAAATTTGTGAAAAATCTCTAAACTGGAAGACTACTATACAACAAAACAATTCCTTTTTTTTCCTAATAAGCTTCGATATATAGATATATAATTTTTTTCCTATAAAAATTCTTAACAGGAAATTACTTCGTGTGTTTCCTACATTTCCTGAATTGTGACGAATGATGTTGGACGTTACATTTTTCTAACATGGTACAAAAGAATCAACTTTGAAGCTATAAAAGTGATCTTACAAAATTTAAATCTATTGAAATCATCAATATGAAGCTTTAAACCTCGTCACTTATTGCGTCTTTGGTGTAAAATATAGCATTTGATATCACAAAACGAACTGGCGACCGTAACGGCGTTAAATATATGCTATGTACTGTACCTTGTATACATATATCTTTATATATGTATATATATATATATATATATATATATACATACACATATACATATACGCGGTACGGATACGTACACGTAACACACGAGTAATAAAACAGGAACTGGACATTTTCGAGCGGTTTCTGGATGGTAGACTGAAGTTGCTGTAAACGGAACTCGATGGTCCTGTCGTATAATGTGGACAATTGAGAAACTGTATACCTCATTGTACTTGTTAACAATCGTTTCAGATTGTCTGATATATACACATATATATATTATTTTTTGAATATACGTTCAATTAAATGCTATTTTTTAGTTTGGAATGTTAGAAAGGTTTGTTACTTAAGTAAACATGTTCCCGAGTTCTTTGTAACTTTTCTTTTATATATATATACATATATAATTTATATATATATATATGATATGATTTTCGAATGAGCATTCGATTCGTTAGGCGACGTCTAATACGAACGTCTAGCAAATTAATGTTTCTCTGGCAGAATTATCGTGCGTTAAGCAATTTTGGTGCATAGTTCTTTCTTGATACCGTGTAAAAGTCTAAAAATAATGGAAAGAGGAAAAATGAACTAGTATATTTTTTTTGAATAGTGTTTCTCTAAGAAAAGATTATTTTTTTCAATTAAATATTTAAAATATAATTTGAAGAGAGTGCAGTTTTAGCTACCCAATTATGATATTTTGCAGATTTATTAATAAAAGTATTAAAATGTTTATCCGTTTCACCGGATAAGGTAATCGTTTGATTATTGCCAAAAAGGAATTAAGCGTTCCTATTGTCGATAAAGTAGAGGCCTCGCGGTGATGGGTCCGAATTTCCCATTCTTTTTAATTACTTCTGAGGCACTTTCATGTCTAAAAGCAACTAACATAATTTTCTAGTTCATCTCTACATTTGCATAAAAATGAGAATAATTCTAAGTTTTTTTTTTACCCTGAATAAATTGCTAGCTATCTTTTAGGGGAGGGCTGATTTAAGGATATGTAAACAGATCACTTTCTACTTTAATACTTCTAGGAGAGATTTTATTCTATTTAATTTAACTAACCCTATTGTTCTATTGTTTTTCCTAGGGTTTATTCGATCCTGCATAGCTATAAATCTGCATTCATCCTGACAGATTTTGAACTATTCGAGTGCTAATTTCTCAAAACTAGGCACATGTAGTTTAAATTATACTTGGACTTATTTTTATACCACTTCTTCTTTTTTGAGCTCAATGTCGTTGACGTCCCAAATCCTAGTGCAATGAAAATATTCTTTAAAGTTTTCCAACAATCCACGACTGAAGGGGTTATGGTAATGTCCTTTGCTATCCATTAGATACCCGTATCGTTTGTAATTGAAGGCTTCGTTGGTTGTCAGATTGTATGCAGCGTACAGTAACTGAAAATTAAAGAACAAGGTAAAGCGGATTAATTCAATGGTTCCTTAAGATTATGAAAATAAAACTTACAGTGCTACCCGTCAGCATCCATCCCAGACCACAGAACATTATGGCTTCTAAAAGTCCAGCTATGTAGCAATACAACCAGCCTTCTTTTATAATGCACACAAAGGCAAAATATACCGTAACTGTACAATTAATAGCAACACAGGAGCAAAATATGAGAAACCACACCCTAAAAAATGATGATTATTTTACTTTACAGGCAAACTTTATATCTAAATAATAAAAAAGGAATCTTACCTGTTGTAAAGCCCTACGCAATTGTATATGTAAGGACAGTGGTGATCGAAATGAATTACGCACCGATTGCATATTCGACAGTGTTTGGCTCTCAGTGGACGTACCGTACGGCATGTGTGACACAAACGTGTCATGGGACTTTGTCTCTCCTTCCATTTATCAAAATGGGCCATCTGACGAATGGCGTAATGGTACTCGTCCGTATTCTGTTTCAGATAACCGGGATTCCGCGTGTGGGCTACAACCATGCTCAGCCACATTACAGTATTGGTCACAATGAAAAACCAATGAATCAGAGGTATGTCGTCCCAAGTCAAAGGCACGCACTAAGAAAAGCAAACAACACTTATAAACTTAAGTTTAGTTAAAATGTATAATATTCAAACCTTTTCATTTCTACTTTTTAACATTATTCGAGCATACTGATAGGAAAAAGCATACACAACACTATTTCATGCACATATTTAAGAACAATAATGATAGACAAACTAAATGTATGCAATAGCAGGTAAGAGATACAGGAAATTTTTCCTGACTACTTTTAATTTCATTTATAATAAGTACCACTACATAATACTAGTGGCGTAAAAAAAAATATATATATTTTAACTTTGAATAATCATTAAAGACTATGGTGGGAAGGGAATGGGAAGATTTTACCCGAAGGAGATACATGGGGTAGCCCCAGAAGAGAAGAGAACACAAGAAGAAGAGAAGGGGACCTTTACTCTTTCCAGCAGGACCAAAAGCAAGCTGCCTGTAAGGAAGGCAAACAAGGAGAAACTAAGCAGAATAATATGGGTTTAATAGTATTTTTAACACTCACGTGCAATAATTTTCTCACTATTTAGACAAATAATCAATGTAATACTAAATCATACATTTTACTTTTTAATAATTTAACATGCAAAGTTTAAATTCAAATTTTTTGTTTATTTTTAAAATGAATACTTTATTAACTTAATTAAAAAAACAAGTGACGAGAAAGAAGTGGAACTCACCAAATATTGAATCGCGGAAATAATCTTCTACGCAGTCTTAATTCATTTTCCAAATAATCAATGACGTCAGAATGCCGTTTTATTTCGGCGAGGATCAGGGGAGTTCGACCCTCTTTGTCCGAAACTTCTATCTTCACTTTATCCTAAAAATTTATTTAGGTTCTTGTCTTAGATATCAATTAATACTATTAATAGATTTAGTGTAAACAACAAATTAAGAATATCTTAACTAGGCACTAGATTACATGCCAACAAATAACAGAACTATACCTTTTCACAAAGATCTTGGACAACAATGTAATTACCATTAAGGCATGCGAGGTGTAATGGCGTTTGACCATAACTGTCTTGTTGTTCGGGATTACATCCAGAATAGATTAATAATCTCATAATTTCTGGAAATCCTACAAAAGATTAAATGAAAAAATATTGCAAAATATTTTAATTTGGAAACTGAAATTATTACTATAGTAAAAAAAATAATTTGTACTAATATGCCATTTTCAACTGATAGTACAAATGAGTATTCCAGGACAAACTCAAATGGCAAAAGCCCAAAGACAAATTGCAATGTACAAATGCTCATACAGACAACAAAGACACTTGGACTTTAGTACTAGTGAGATTTTATTTTTTTTACTATAAGAATTGTTTTATAATTTTACAAATAAATTATTTATGTATTAAAAAATGAAAACTAAGGTTACAAATAACATGTGTATTTTGTATGTATACAAATTATAAGTTAAACTTCAATCTTTTTACGAAACTAAAATGTCATGAATAAGCATATAATTAATATAAACTTTTTGAAATAACATGACTTCTGTTTTGCATCAGAAGTTTGTATATAGTTAATCAGGGTCTCCTGCTCCTAATCTTTCCATATCTAGTCTTGACTTTCATCTAACATCGTTCTTGACATTAAGGAAGGTCAGAGACAAAAGAACAATAGTGAGAATTTGTCTACATNTTGTCATATGGCATTACTTCATAAGCTTAGACTGAACAAACTTTCGCTTGAATATAACTTGAGATTAAATTCATGAAACAATCATAAAAAATACAAAAAGACAAAAAAAATTTAAGAATATTTAAAAGAAAATTATACAGCAGGTTTCAAGCCACAACTGTAAGTTTCAAATTTTAAAAAATTTTAATTGAACAGGCTAAAAGATTTCAGGTTTATATTCTTGTATCAATAACTAACATCAACTTTCTAAAAAATTATACATTAAAACAGAATATTTGATAATTCAGAAATTTTCTTAATATATAAACATGTAAAATATAAATATAAAAAAATTAGTAGTAAAAAAATGTATAAAAAAGTGTGACTGAGTTCTGTCATAGTATGGATTTTATGCTTAATTATAACATTTTACTATATATAATATATATATCCATCTTACACTGAACATTAAATGAAAAATTTTTTGATTGAGCACAGAATGAAAAAATGTATTTCAAGTTAGAATGAAGAATTTCAAAATTCCTGTTTTTATTCTTGTATGTGGAAGTAGAGATGGGTAGCTCATCTGTTGTTCTTATTGGGTAATTACTTAATTGTAGCATAATACCTACTTGGTCTCAGTTAATACATTTTTTTATCAAGAGCCTCTTCTGATAATGCTGAAATATCTTTACCTTTTGTACAGTCTTCAAGATTTTCTTTCAATCTTTTTCTTAAAGACTGAATAGTACTCCCTATGTAATGTCTTCATTCCTGTACAATGTCATGGAGATTACATAAACCCTCTAACTGCCTAATGCTTTCTTCTGGTTCTTTATCATTTCTAATTTGGTTAAAAATAGAAGGTTTTCTCTGTTACAATTTTAGCCTTCCCTATTGTTAAATGAGATTTAATACTCCTAGAGGCACATCAGTTCTGTAAGCATTTTATATTTTGATAGTAGTTGAATATTAAAATATTTTAGTGGAATTCTATCTCTAGATGAAAGTTTCATAGAATTTCAGAAATAATTACAAAATATAAGTTGCATTCAGTGACCATACATGAACATTTCTTAATATTTTTTACTTTTGCCATTTCTTCTCCTGATAAAAGACTTCTTTACCTGAAAGTAATCATCATATTTTATGGTAAAAAAAGAAGCTGCTCCATTTCAGCATAGAATATTTAGTGTACACAATGGACAACACACATTAAAAAAGTGTTCAGCAGCAATCCAGTCTCTGAACACCACAATCATTGCTGCCCCATTGCACACAATTCTGTTGCCCATAATGGGACAGCTGGATGGTGAGAGACAGGACCTGATATACCTGGACAGACCACAACATGAAAAATTCCTGGGATTTTTCTGACCCATCCGGCCATGTCTCCAATAAGGTTAGAGTGAACAAAAACTTGCACCATTGTTTAGAACATACTAAACATAATACACAGCAGCAAAAAATTAGTGATTGCCCTAATAGTTTTTGAAATAATTGGCAAGAGAGACAGTTTTATTACATCCTGTATATATAGATAAAACTACAAGAATAAGCAAAAAGGTATTACAGTCGAGTTTGCATAAGTCGACACACCAAAGGGAAGTGTAAATTGTGTTGAGTTATCTGATATGATGACTAAAACGAAGTTGAAAAAAACCACAAAACTACAATAAGGAAAATACAGTAGTGCTTTATACAGTACATTCAATGTATCTCTCTGACCATCCATCACTGGCACTAAAGCTGGTTTCTACTCCAAGTACCTCAGCAATTTCCATTGCTTTTTATTTCAGTATCAGCCCTGAAACAGGAAGATTTGATTAACAAATTTGCTTTAGCCAATGTACCAGAGGATCTTCGACATCTTTGAATGGCTACTTTCTCTGGCATTATCAAGACAGCTGTGACGACAATGTCAAAAAAAAAGAAAAAATTTCTTAATTTCCTCCTTTTCCTTCAGAATTCCTACTAATGTTGTTCTTGGAAGGTTTTTTTTGTTTTGCAAATTCAGCTTGCAAAGTTTTATTACATTCAAATTCAGACACAAGTTCGTATTTTTCCTTCAGCATAAGCGTTGTTAGCTTTTGGATACTCATTTCTAACAGAAATGTGAAACATGTACTACAAATAATGCATGAATGAAAGGTGAGAAAATGCAAGATTGGATTCTGCTGTGACATTGATACAGATTGTGTTTTCCTTTTGTTTATCTGTTATTATTTTACATATAAAAATACATAAAATGTTAAGGTATTTTTATTAATATGTACATATTAATAAGTTGACTCTCTTCCTGAAAAAAATGAGTTTGCACCACACAGCTTACTGTGCGATATGAACTCATTTTTTCAGGAGGGGAGTCGACTTATCAGACGTCTAAATGAGTGTGGGACAGAAAAAGTATTCAATTTATCCAGTGATGACGAGTTAATTGGAAAAATATCTTTCTTGTCATATGGCATTACTTCATAAGCTTAGACTGAACAAACTTTCGCTTGAATATAACTTGAGATTAAATTCATGAAACAATCATAAAAAATACAAAAAGACAAAAAAAATTTAAGAATATTTAAAAGAAAATTATACAGCAGGTTTCAAGCCACAACTGTAAGTTTCAAATTTTAAAAAATTTTAATTGAACAGGCTAAAAGATTTCAGGTTTATATTCTTGTATCAATAACTAACATCAACTTTCTAAAAAATTATACATTAAAACAGAATATTTGATAATTCAGAAATTTTCTTAATTTACTTTTAAGTGATTTGATCAAAAACATTCATATTAATTAAATACTATACAAATTTAAATTGAAAAATAAGATTACATACATTAAATATTAATATATTTTATAAACAAACTTTTATTTAAAACATTCTAAGTAACTCATATTTAAAATTCTAAGTACCTTTGTATGCAGCCCAGTGCAATGCAGTATCACCATTGTTATCACATAAATGTCTGTTTGCTCCTCGACCCAGAAGATAACCAACCAGATGAATGTAACCATGCTGACTGGCAATAATGAGAGGACTACGACCTCTAGCATCACAGACATCAACAGACACTTTAGCCTAAAAGTAATAAAAGTAAATTAAAAGTCAGCACAAACTGTTTTTGGATTGTGGCTAAAGATAGATTTACTGTTATGATTTCAAAAAGTGTATTTTTTAAAATTATTTATCAAAACTATTTTAAACGATTTTACTGAAAATATTTTAGACTTCAAAATGCTAAATTCAGCCATTAATAAATTATCAAATCCTAAAAACATTTAACAAAAGTGATTAAAGTTTGTTAAATTTGATTTTAACAAATAGCAAAATCTAGAACTTTTTAGAAATCACTTTCTTTCTACAACACCTGAGCATTTGCCAAGAGATTCTTTATTCACAAATGTTTTCAACCCATTGCTGTAGGCTATCATCAGGTTTTAAATAAGTTTAAGAAAATGTAAATATTTAAACTGAATGAACATTCAGTTTAAATATTTACATTTGAAGTATTCTAAATACAAATTAGAATAAATTAAGAAAAATATAAAATAAAAGTTAAGAAAGTATAACATAAAAATAGGGGAACACATAATTCAGGGGTTTTTATGACCTAATCATTTTTCTATGATGTACTGTATTTCCAAACTGAAGGTAATGCATCTGCATCCATAGCATTCAGGCACTGTCCTTTAATCTTGCTTCTATATATGTCCATTTTTTCCATATCCATAGCAATGATTGGAGAATGTACTGGCTTAATATTTGCTTCATCCCATTTTATAACTGATCCTTCCACTTGCACCACTGCTGCTAAAATTGTATTACCGTGGCCTTTTCCCACATTGTACCTGTGTTCCTTCAGATGCGCAGTGAGATTTCTTTTTGTAACCCCAAAGTTTAGTGGCAATGGCACAAGCAGAAGGATCAGTTATAAAGTTGGATGCAGCATGAGATTTCTTTTTGTAACCCCAAAGTTTAGTGGCAATGGCACAAGCAGAAGGATCAGTTGGATGCAGCAAACATTATCTTTTCAGTATTTCCCTTCAAAACCAATGTGACTCAATATAGCTGAAGATATTTTTCATCTCCTCATACATATGATGAGGAGATGAAAAATATCATGCTTATCTGAATATACATTCAGATAAGCATGATTGTAGACATTCCTTAAGGAAGCTCTTTATTTTCATGCAAGTGTTCAAAACACTTTTCAAACCATCTAAAATAGTGTTTGATATCAACACTTTCCTGTGAAGGTTACAGTGAGTTCCTGCAAGCAACATTCAAATTAATTTCAAACTCATGTCACAACACTTCTGTTTTTTCTGCATATTGCTCAGTTACTGTCTACATATCCTAATGCATTTCATCTAGACTTCATTTTTAATTAAGTATTGAGAGTTTCCTTGTTATTACCTCAAATAACTGGTTCACTTCAAAGCATATATTTAAGTGTTCTTTATTCCATGTGTAACATATGAACAAGCAGCTGAGACAAACCTTATACACCATGAACTCATTCAGTTGTAATAGGATAAATTTAATCACAACTCTGAATAAGCTCATCTTCTATGAAGTGGAACATTCATTGATTCTGTAAGCAACTGTGTTATTGGAAAATGGAACTGTTTCACTTTCTTTTTAGCTCCTCTCATCAAATGTAACATGAACTGAATGTCTCCAACTCTTCCAGTTTTCTTTCAGAAAATTTGAGAAAATTATTTTTCAAATACAGATTGCTTTAATATTCCAAAGCAGTTTAATTGCATATCCTCATTTGCAAGTACTTTGCATGTAAAGTACTAAATTTTTTTCCGACTTTTCCAATGACTGTGTGCCGGAAATAGCCGTTCCCTAACAGGTACTTTACACGGATTCGCGTTAGTGTGCCAGGCCTGGACTTTAAGCATGCACCGAATTAAATAATAACAAAGTTTGTCAAAAATAAATCAAATATTTAATAAAAGCTTTAGTAATAAACTATATACAATATTTAGTAAAAAATCAAGTAACAATTTATTCAAAGAAAATCAATAACAATCAACCCGACAAAACTCAAATCAATCTATTTTCTAACTTACTTCTATTCCCCTTTGGAATTTGACAAAAATCAAAGACTTAACTTATAAACAATAATTCTTATGAATTAAAGGTCCTAATCGTCACCTCAATATACTAGGAACCTATTTCCTCAACTCTCAAAACTTTCTCTATTCGTCGATCCACAAATCAAATAACTTCAAAATCGCCTTGGAACTATTTGATCCTATCGGACACCTCTCTCGTTCACTGCTATGAAGCTCACCAACCTCGTTGCTATCAGAAGCTCACCTCATTCATCTTCACTTGAGATTCGGACTTTATACTGTGAGGTGACGTCACAACTCTGAATGCGATCACTCCCCTCATTTACATACTTATTTGCTAACAATAAACTTTTTCTATTTGTTTGGCAGCCTATTTTCCGACAATGCTCGCTAACCTTTTACATTATTCTTTTTAACAATTTTCGGGATGTTTTTATTCTTTAAGGTTTAGCGAGTCCCTAAGTTGTGCTTGTGGGGTCTCCCCCCTTTTCTCAGTGCGGACTTACTTTTTTCCGCTCGGGAGCGCAAGTGTGCACGAGTTTTAACTATGGCGCTTTTCTCTCGTTGGTGAGTTGGTTTCTCTTCTATTTTTAAGTTTCTAAGGTGAATGGTGAGGAAACCTTCGTCCTAACAAAACATAAGCCCCAAAACAAAAATAGAATAATAAGCAAAATAAAAGTAAATAAAAATAATGCTCGGACTTGGTTCCTTACACCCCAATTACATAAAATTTGGGTTTTTGTGGAATTGAGTGAAATTGCAGAATTGCACTTTCACTCAATTCCACAAAAACCCAAATTTTATGTAATTGGAATTATAAACTAAACTGCTAAAAACAAAAAATAGCAGATTAATAATGCATACCTCCTCATTTCAACCTAATAACAGTAAATATACATTGTGGTAAAGGCTGACAAGGTACTAAGATTGATATGTTGGTTTAATCATCCAGGAACATTGGATGGCAGTTCATAATTCTATTGTGTTGATCAGAGGTGATGCCAAATCATTGAGAGGAGTCTGTACAGTGTCCCAAAGATGCTCAATTGGATTCAAATCTGATGAGTGTATAGGCCAAGGAAATGCCAGGAATGCTCTTGTATCACCTGTTGTTGATGTGTAGCAGCATTTTCCTGCTGAAACAATCCATCTCCATCAGGAAATAGGTGGAGCATATAGGAATGGAGATGGTCAACAATGATGTTCATGCAATTAAAACTTTCAAGACAGACTCTGTTAAGTAGTGATTCAAGTGAGCTTTAACCAAATACACTAAAAAAAAAAAAAAAAAAAAAAAAATAATAATAATAATAATAATAATAATATATTTAGTTCATTAAACTTCTCTTTTCTCAAAAAAATAAAAAAATAAAATAAAATATTTGATAACTTTTGGAATAAAATATATTTACAATTAAAAGTACTATTACAGTTAAGGTTTCTTGACTTAACATCGAACATCTTCTAGCATATACTCTTGACATCTGTGTTAACAAAGTTCTGTTTAATCTCGTTGGCATATTAGCATTTCTTTAAAAACATTTATACTATAAATGAATCTTTCTAATTATTATTACTATTATCATCATTATTATTGCTGTTGATAATATTACTGACTTTATTATAATAATTTTAACTAATTGTCAGAATAGACAAGGGAAATATATCTTAAAATGAAACAATTTACAATGTAAAATATAGTCGCACCTTGAGTTTTGAATGCCTTACTTTTTGAACAATTCAGATTAAAAACAAAATTTTGAACTCATTTTTGCCCTGGTTGCTCAGTTCCTGAACAAGCTACTTAGCAGAGCTGGCCACTGATGGTCAACTTCCTATACTTCCTGTGTTAAAGAAACTTCACAACCTGACCAATCAAATGACAGGACCACCAGTTCAGAAGTTAGTGGCACTGAGATTGTATCATGTCATGATATGAATCATCAATGATGTTGCTATTTAAATTACATTTCAATGTGTATATGAGAAAGATGACATTCTATTATCCAACAGGAAGTAACAATCCAATGAGGCCGTTATTTAGAAACTGTTATTGCTCATCTAATTAATGTACATACAATTTCTGTTTTTCTGTATGCACCACAGCTAAATCAAAATCAAATTATTTAATAGAAACCACATTAATTGACATTCACATAATATAAATGGCATCCAAGAATTTGTGTTTAAATATGCTCAAGTTAAATTAAATGACAAAAATTTATTAATATAATATTATATGTTATAATATTAATATTTATTAATACTAGGTAGCCAGTTAATTAAACTACCATGGTCTATAACATGACATGGAAGTATATCGCCAAGAGGAATTTATTGGAATATAATCCATAACACCTATTTAATGTGAAACTAGCATTGTGAATGTAAAAATCCCTCCCATTTTCTTTTTTGCATTTTTGTTTCATTTGTATTTTATTTATATTTATTGTTTCTTTTTATTGTTTGGTTACTGTAATCCAAATTAATATTTTGTATCATATTTATTTTGAATTCAAATAACAATATATTCAAACATCTTTATAATTTTAAACATGTTCTTACATGTTCTATACAGTAAGGAACGCTTGTCAATGTTCCAGAATTCTAAATCTAATGATGGCCTTTGTTGCAGGTTGAAAACATTCGTTGATGTAATAAATTGTTTTCTCAGTGATTTAAGATGTTATTGTGGTGGCTAGTTAAGTAAACTAAAAATAATAAAATAATAATTAAAACATGCTTTTACACCAAAACTAAAACTAAAAAATAATTAAAATTAAAATCAAAAATATTCAAACATGATATTTTAAAAAGTGTGGATAAAGCACTTGTCTGTCTTGATTAATTCGGTTATATTTCTTGTAGACAGTTGTCTCACTGTTTATAGCATTTCTTATAAAGTTAAAATGAATATAATCAAAATTTCATCTGAATTGGACAAAAATTACAGGAGTTATAAGGAATTCACACAAATACACATACTGTACAGACAATGAGCTTAATATTAGTAATTATAAATTGGCAATGAGCTTAATTTTAATGGCTAATAATTATTAATAGCAGCAAAAAAAATAGCCTGATTAATTATGGCAGTTTATGATCACAGATCTTCCATTGCACAATTATGACATTGATGTTTTATGATTTATATCAATATATTAATTTATGTAAACAAATAAATTGATTAAACTTATATAATTATTCTTTATGTAATTACAGCAAAAATCTTTACCTGAAGCAAAATATCTACAACAGAAATATGACCTTTAGCACAGGCCCAATGGATGGGATGTGATCCTTGTGGACTATAGCTTGGAACATCGACATCCACTCCTTGTTCTACCATATAAGACACTATGTCATAAAATCCTCCCAAACATGCCCAATGAATAGGTGTGTGGCCCTGATCATCTCTTTCACTTAAAATGTGAACTCCATACTTTTTTACAACAAAAACTATTGCCGCTAGCGTCCTAGATAGAAAAAGAAAATCACAAAATACAAATAATGTTTATAGCAGCCATTTTTAATACTGTTTTAATATTTTATAAATTAAATTTACATATATAAAAAATTTAAATGTTTTGTAATAAACAAAAAATAGAATGTGAAATGTATACAGTGGCATAATGTAGTGGGGGTGGCAATATTTCACAATAAATAATAATAATATTTTGTAAAAATTTGAACCATTTAATTTCATATTTTTGTCTCACTTACAATTCGGACCAATTGAATTGAGCACGGAATTTTTCATTACTTATTCTGCAATGAAATTGACTTTTAGTTTTTTAAATTGAGATACCTAAATAAGGAGGCGGCGAAATTTTCCTCTGCCCCAGGTGGCTGACACCCACGCTACGCCACTGAATGTATAACAACAGATATTAATTTGATAAAGTTTCTAATTTTATTTTCACTTTTTATTTTTGTTTTATTTCACGAATCTGTTTAGACTTGCAGATTTTCATCAAAATTAATTAACCAACTCATACATTGTTATTGCAATAAAAATGATTTCATTATCACCACCTGTTATTCTTATTAAAATCTTATTTCAATTCTGATATCTTGAGGGGAGAGAACAGCATTAATTTAATAATTTTATTAAAACATTGCAGAACTTAAGTTGAATTTAGAAGAAAGTAGCTTTAGCTTATTATTTTGATATATTACTTACTAAAAAAAGAAAATGTTTTAAAAATGTATAGTTTAAGAATATTAATGTGACATTCAATCAGATAGTTTCAGCCAAAAGTCAACAGCATTGACAGCACAGTATAGGAGAGTCATTCATTATTTAGAATAATGAATTTGTAGTTGTTTGAAAGTATAATACTAGACTCATTTTCAGAAAAAATAAAAAAAACAGTAGTCAGAATTTAATCCACTTATATGACCATTAAATTTTAATAACCATATAATATGACCATTATAATAACCATTAAATTTTAAAGCTGAATTGTAAGAACTTGTAATTGATGATATGAGTGGATAAAGGCATTATATCACAATCATTCAAGACCCAACTGTCCTCATGGATGAAGGTATAATACCGTATATCAGTCTTCACATACCAGTATCAAAGATCTTAGAAATTAAATGATACTGTAATATTCTCCAAGACATGCTATTTCATGAATATATTTACACGAAAATAATTACATAATAAAAACTTAAACATCAATTCACTGTAAGCTTTGATTTTGTAACATTACCTCTTCATCCACTCATGTCTTCAAATGTAAGTTTGATATAATTGTCAAGAATAAATATAGCATTAATTCAATCAAAATCATACTGTAACATATCAAAAATAAAAAAAACAAATTAATGTTGCACAAAATTTTATTTTATTTAATTACAAAAATATTATTCCTGAGAATTAAGTTTTATTGTACTATATAGGGCATCAGAAAGTTTTGTTTAGTTGCTTAATTAGTAATCACTTAGTGTTGATGTTTATCTGTTCTACTTTTAATTCTACTTCCATCATGCCAAAGAAATTTTTTCATTTATGAGAGTTCTTGAAACTGATAGTTCTTCTATTACATTCGTTTTCCCAATCAGATCCAAGACTAAATTGTAACTTATACTTTTGTAAAATTAATTATTGTAATTTTTATCATACAAAAAAAAAATGACAATTTGTTTTTAAATGTAGAAGTCCAGTACTCTTAATAAAAACTTTGATGCAAGGTATTTTTAATTAAAAAAAAATTAGATATACTTGTTTAGATCTTAGACATAACAAAAATATTTTAAAATTTACATTCTTTTTATGATCAAAAGGAAGAAATTTACAGTATATCTCCACAAATAGTTGGTTTCTTTAAAATTCTAAAATTGAAGTTTGATTAATTTATGGGTTATTCCCTAAAAATAAATGTAATTCTTAATTATTTATATTTATCATATAACTTTGTTCATTTAAAATTTTCTATTGTTTTTTTGTTTTAAATTTGATAATACAGTTAACTCTCTCCTGCTATTAGTCTGTTGAACTGAAAGTTGTCAGTGTAAATGCAATACCTGCTATGTGGAAAAAACGTGAATTTTACAGAAGCAAGAAAACATTATTTTTGAGGAAACCTAAAATAAAATATTCTTTGTATAGCTATTTATTAATAGTACTACTTACATTTCAAATGGGTGTTAGTAAAGACAGTAAAATAAAAACCTGTCACACCAAAAATAAATTATAAACAAAAACATGGCAGGTTCTGATTTCATGAAAACTTGGTAAAGTAAATTTACTGAAAACATAACTGTGCATGCATTGTTAATATCTGCTATGCAATCTGCATACAAACATCAACAACTAGAAATGACAAATTTTGCATATAGCAGGTATTGCATTTATGCCGATGAAGTGTTCATAATTGCAAAATGTAAATAGTTATCAGGGGCATCTAATCTATACATATAAAATATTTAGCTCAGGACAGTCAACACTTTTTCCATCATAGAAAAAAAAAATAAATTAGAAATGGCAGTGCTGGGAATCATTGAATCCCCACAAAAGTTTTAAAAAAATTTTTTGGTAGACATATTTTTAAATTTTTATTCACAAAAAACCATGTTTGATTTTTTAAATCCTGTAATCAGTGAATTTTATATTACATGAAATTTCTAGTAAACATTAATAATTTAGTGGATAGATAAAATTTATCAAATATGTTTTAAATTCCAGTTTATATCAACAGTATAACATCATAACAATTTTGAAAGTGATATTCATTTCCAACTTCTTATAAAGTTTTGGCAACTGTATACTTTGCAGAAGGAACTAATTTACATTTATATAATTAATTACTGAAGTTTACAAAAGTACTTTTCACACAAAGCATTTCATATAAATTATAGGTGTAACTTTAGTTAAAGAATTTTCTTTATATAGGAAATCCTCATTAGTTTGAAATTCAAAGGACGAAATAATCAACTTTGAATTATTGAATTATTTCAAATTATCTGAGATTTACATATTTCTGTATAATATGCCAAATGTCATGTAAGTGATGTACTTTATTAAGCAAACAAAATACAGTTATGTATACAGAATGTTAATTAATAATAATATAAATAAACTACAGATAAACAGCATGTGTCCAGTTAAAATCACAGAATGTAGCCCTAATTATTTTTAAAGTGGCCCAAAAAGTAGTAAGTCGCTGTATAGTAGCTTAGAATTACAAATATTATCTTATCTCAATCTGCTACTTATAGCAATCTTATAATTCCAAAAACCAGCCATATTTTATGACAGGGATGGGCAACCTTTTTCTATGTAATGGCCGCATCTCAAAACTTTTGAACTGATGCAGGCCAAATACAAGAGAAAAGAAATGCCAGTAAATCACAATTATTTATTCATGTATAATTATAAATTAGCATAGGTAAATTAATTTAGCTTCTGGAACTGATGTGAATGTAATATATCAGAAATATTTGGTTAAATATTAGTCACTGCTAGTGTTAAATTAGTTTCGATCCAAGTCTGTTAGCTGATCTTGTTTTAATTTTTACTAAATTCACTGTGGGAAAAACTATTCACATACATAAGTTAAAATAACATTTGAATTTTTGCTGCATACGTCCTTAAGCTGGGAAATTGATATATTTATTCATATTTTATGCAATGTGGGCCACAAAAAAGATTAACGCGGGCTGCATGAAGCCCGGGGCCATGGGTTGCCCATCCCTGTTTTATGAGATAAAAGAAAAAAGGGGTAGTGCATGGGTAAGGTAACACACCCGAAAATGTATTATTGTAAAAGCAAAGCCATATTGACCAGAATTGAGTTGTTCTCAGTCTATTGTTCTCTTATAGCATGGAGGCACTTTGATCTAAACGAACGAATTAACATATACATATCACTGTTTGGACAAAATTTTCACTTCAAAATTTTGAAGTAGCCATATTTTGAACTAACCAAATTCCTTAACATGTAAATCCCTATATCTCTGGCCAAGACAAAAGTACAATTACAAACTAACAGGATTTCAAACTATCAGAGTTCAAATTAACAAGGATTTCCTGTAATTTTTTAATACAATTACATCGACCCCCCTATAAGATCATTGATTTTTCCGTTTTATCTGAATTACATGTTGTACGAGTCACTTAGATTTTACAAATATGTGAGCCGTTCACAGCCCGGCACATGTATTTGTAAAATCTAAGTGACTCGTACAACATGTAATTCAGATAAAACGGAAAAATCAATGATCTTATAGGGGGGTCGACTGTAATCTGAAATATTCAGTATTTAAAGTATCTGTACTAAGTAAATACATTGTAACATTTGTCACATACTTGTTTCTTTATTTTTGATAAAATGCAACCTCAGATACAACATAGCATTTTTGTATCCAGATGACTGAAAAGAAGTTGCTGGTATTATGTATGGAGACAAACTAAATTTATGGTGTACTGTGTAGTAAAGTTGAGTAAGGGTCCTATGTATGTAAAGGTATGAAAAGATCTAAGAAAGCAATTCTAAGTCTGCAAGTTGGATAGCATATCATGAGCAGGAAGGAGAAAATTTTAGATTCAGTGTTTCAGGTGATCAACTCAGCTAGAATGGCAGAAAGTAGAGAAGCCATGAAAACACCCTGTTTTTGCAAAAAACATTGGCTATTAAATTGGAAACAATATGTTCTGTAATAAAGAGGAGGACTTCCTGCATGTCAAGAATTTGTTGGAAGGTAAAAACTTTCTCTAGTGTGTATTTGCAAGCATAACAGCTTCAAAGTGGCATAACAGACATACAGCAAATTTACATCAATTTTGTAGAATTGACATATATTAGTTCATCAATAATTGATTTGGCTTCTAATGCTGAAGTGATTACTAAACCTGAAGAAGGGATTAAAAATAAAAATAGACTGGCTAGGACCTTTTCTAGGAAATATATGATGAGTGCACCAATTAACCAATGGTCATAGGGGTCAGTCAACCTACATTTGTAGG